CGTTGTCCGGGTGAGAAAGGGGAATAGTGGAGGCCAGCCATGATGGCATCTGAGGTGGCTCTGTTGGGCCGGTAGGCATACTGAAGGGGGTCCATGGTGCCCGGTATACTGCTCTGAATGTGGGCCAGCACCACTCTCTGTTTTGTTTTAACATGGCTAACCTAACTTTTACAAAAGTTAATCACAGATATCCTATTTAGGCCTTGTTTATAATTAGAGTTAATGCTAACAGCAGAAAAACCTGATGGTGTGTGCATTACTGTTATTAGCCTATCTGCTGACTCTGAAACTGTTTGGGGGATTGATTTTCTGATATTTCACAAGTTAAGCTAACAGGTAAAAAAAAAAAGAATGAAAAGGTTTGTGTAGCATTTGCAGTCATTTTAAACAGCAATGTGTTGGCCCCATCTCTATAGTGAAAACATAGTAACCAGGCGTCTGATCTGCCTTTTACAGCAACTCCTGGATGATACATTCTCTGAACACTTGTCTCCTGTTTATCTTCTCTCTGTGTGCAAAACCCATGTTTGTCCAGGGTCTGTGTCTATTTCACCATCGCCACTTCTCCTGCCGCTGCGCTTCAAATTCCAAAGAACAAACCCCTTATCAAGTAACACACTATTTACATAGCTCAGTTTTAAAATATAGAGGCCACAGGTTCAGTGGATTCTTCAGCTACCTCCAGTTAGCAAAATGTGTTGCACTTTTTTAATGTGCCCCCTGGTGTCTACAAGTGGACACAGCAACTTCAAGGATCCTGTGACATTAAATCCAGGCCAGTATTTCCAGTAAGTTTTTTTCTTGTTACTAAGCTGTGCACTCTGAGGCAATAGTTTAACAAGTTACTCAATATATAACTAAAAGGCTACAGCTGCCCTCAGGACTGCTGGCTGCTAACTCCCTAACTCAGAATATTGTGACATCCCATGTGCATCACGGAGAACAGCGAAGACAATGTAATCATCCTGTTACATGAGTAACATCTTCATTTGTCCTTGGCTCAACACAAAATGTTTGACAGGAAAGCAGCATGAGAATGACACATTCACCACTGGTAGAAAAAGGAACAGGCTTAAAAGCATTTAGTTGTTCCATTGCCATTTTAGTGACCTCACATTCCCCAACATTGCCTCACTTTTCTCCTTTCTTTTGAACATTCTCCACTTGGTAGCTGCCAGGAGCCCGGCGGCTGACATGTCAGAACAGGATAAAAATACAGGCATAATCAATAACACCACTGAAAGCTGGCTGGAAGAAAATTATTCGTCAATAAGTCATAAATTAATGTTCATATGTGGTGACTTTAATATAGATTTGTTGAATCCTAACAAGCACACAGCAACTGAGGAATTTATTAACACATTATATAGATGTAGTTTATACCCAAAAATTACAAAACCAAATAGATTAACAACCCAGCATGCAACACTAATAGATAATATATTTACTAATGATATTGACAGCAAAATGTCTAGTGGATTACTTATAAATGATATTAGTGATCATTTACCTGTATTTTTGGTTTATGACTGTCAGTATAGAAATGAAAGGCCAAAAACAAATCTTTTCTATAGGAGGGTGATGAATGAACACGCTGTAAGGAGGCTAAAAGAGGACTTTATGGGGCAACAAGCTTCAGACTGAAGCCGAGAGTCGGCACTTTAACCCAACACAATCTTACTTTAAAAACAATTTTCAGGAGTGCAGCACAGAAACAAATCTGTACTGTATCATTAAATCTACAGGTGAACAAACTAAGGCTGCAACTAACACTTACTTTTATTATTGATTAATCGACAGATTATTGTAACACGTCAAAAATAGTGAGGAAGCATCTGACATTTACTTTATTTGTTAGTTTTAGAAAGAAAAACACAAAAGGTAAGCATACAGACAGCAGTGCTTACCCAAGTAAAAGGAGTGTGAAAGCACAGAGTGGCACCCTGGCGCTTAAAGAAACCCGAAAAACTGTTTATCGAGCTAATACATTCAGGGTGTCAGCGCTGCAGCTTCATTGGCGGAAAACAAACAGAGCCAGCAACGTTTTCACTGTTTACCTGCTCTCTTTGTGGATCAAACTGCCTCTAAAAAACCTGGTTCAATCACATGAGGTACATTTCAGAGAACCCTTCAAACTCAAAATACATTTAGAGCTAAAAAGCACGAGCCTGTGGTACCTACACAGCCGAAATTAGCCCGCATTAGTAGCAGGCAATAAGCGTAGTGGCACCAAACTCCATTTGAAAATATTTAAATTTTAATCCCACCTTGTGTAGACAACAGGATATAACAAAACTATAACTATTTGTACGTCATACAAGTCTTCTGTTAAACTCGACATTGACAGCGCCCACCCAAAAAATACTAGAATTCAATAAAATCACGACTTTAACCGTAGATCTCCGTTAGTCAATACCGCCCACCACGGCTGTATTTTACTAGAAAAACGCCGTAGAAAATCCTGTCTACAAAAACAAAAGCCTGTTTTCAATTAAAACAAGTACAGATGTATATAATAAATGTGCAGTAGATTAAATGGTCAGAGATGAAGTTGTCAGCTGTTGTGATTTTTACTGAAGAGATGCACTGGCAGGACATCGTCAATTTGTGAGGTTGGGTGAATACCAATCGTGTGAGCTGGATATTGTATGTGGAGTGCCTCAGGGTTCTGTTTTGGGACCTAAATTATGTATACTATACATTAATGATATATGCAAGGTTTCTGATTTAGTGAAGGTGGTTTTGTTTGCTGATGACACTACCATATGGGCATCGGGTGAAAACCTACAGCAACTCTCTGGACAGGTTTCACAGGAACTTGAGAAGATAAAGAAATGGTGTGATAGTAATATAGTTTTTTTGAATTTGGATAAAACTAACTTTATTTCATTTTAACACCAACTGCAGAAAATATTTTTCTGAAATAAATATAACTACCATAAGCTCCATATTCTTTTTAGTACTATAACCAATGCTTTAAATCCTCCTCAATTTGCCTTTAAAGGTGCTACACCTGATATCTGTGAGAAATGTCAATCTTTTGTTGAGGAGGTTGTGAATATTAAGGAACAAAGTCCTTCTACCTTTGACCCACACTCCACCGCTGCCTGCTCTATCACTTTCACACAGTTCGAGCCAGTGTTTCTTTCCCTTTAAAAAGAGATTATTACCCAATTCAAACCCGCAAACTGCTCTACTGACGTTGTCCCTCCTTGACTTCACAAAGAGATCTTTGATACTGTCAGATCTTCTATTCTGACAATTTTAAAAAGCAGTTTGATATCTGGGAGTGTTCCATTAGTCATTAAGCATGCCATAGTGCAGCTGCAAATTAAGAAACCTCCAACCTTTCTAATTTCAGACCTATCTCCAAACTCCTGATTTTATCAGAACACCTGGAAAAAGCAGTGTTGGCACAACTTCCATGTTTTCTAGACAGGCATGGTATCTTAGGGGTTTTTCCATTATAGGAACCTAATGAAACAAGTGACACTCATCACAGGTTCTGTGTTTGTTTCCACCACTCTCGACCCACTTTGGAGGGACCGCGAAGGGAAAGGAGGTGTGTGCATGCAGAGCAGTCACCGGTGATTGGTTAAATGTCTGCATCTTCATACCTCAAGCATTAGCATCACAAGCACCAGTTGTAAACACACAGCTGACTGCATGTGTGAGACGGCAGCAGCCCCTCCCTCCTCTAAACAGAGACCAACAGAGAGAAAATATAGTGGAAAATCAAAGCAAAACTGCTTGGTGATGGTTAAGGGAAGTACGGGGTATACTGCTCATTAGGTTCCGAATAAGGAAATGCAGCTTTTGAGATACAGAGCCACCGAACTGAACCACAGCGCTGAATCTGCACTCCTTAAAGTTTTTAATGACATACTGAGTCAGGAGATTTTGCTGCACTATTGCTTTTAGATCTCTAGAGCATTTGACATGGTAGATCACAAAATCCTTATCTCCCACCTTGAACATTCCGTAGGTGTTTCTGGTACAGCCTTGCAGTGGTTTAGGTCCTATCTATCTGACAGAAGTTTCTCTGTTAGCCTTGGTGACTCCATCTCCTCTACTATGCCTCTGTCCTATGGTGCCCCCCAGGGATCCATTCTTGGTTTGACTTTATTTTATTTTATGGCTGTGGTCCTGACTTACCAGGCATGGCTTATGGGGTTCATTAATTTAATTACATCCACCCATGATGCTTGAGGTATGACAGGATAAAGCATCACTTGTGAAAAACATCTATTGAGAGTAACCTCTAATTCTCTTCATCTGTTTCAAGACAGTAAATCTATGACAGATTTCGGGACCCAGCCCTGTGATAGACTGGCAACCTGTCCAGGGTGAACCCCACCTCTCGCCCAATGTTGGCCAGGATTGGCTCCAGCCCTTCCACAACCTTTGATAAGATAAGTTGTATAGATAATGGGGGGGATGGATTTCAGGACACAGTTTTAAAACACAAACTGTTAAATGTTAAGGCAGCTCATTTCTGTATTATTATTATATTCCAGTATTTTAAACACTCACTAAACAGAGAATAAAACCAACTATGTTTTGCCTCTCACAACTGTCTGTCATTCAGTCAGTCCTGGTTTAGCCTATTCATCTGTTCCATAGACCTCCATTGTTGTTGAAAAATGATTAAAAACACAGTGAAACAACATTTTTTAAAACTGTTACCCCAAAAGCTCCTAACAGCCATAACTTTTTACAGCATCTGAAATAAGCAAGAGTCAAGGGCCCATGCACGAGCTCTCTGGATAATATTAACAAACATTAGGGTCTTGTGCTTTGTGATGAGGAAACATGTCACCCGGTACAGTGGTGTGTTTCGCTTCTGTTTTTAAACATTTTCAAACAACAGTGGAGGTCTATTGGCACTGATGAATAAGCTAAGCCAGAACTGACACACTGACAGACATTAGCAGTCAGTAGAGGCAATTCATTGTTAGTCCTTGTATGGGGAGTGTGGAAAATACTGTTAATACAGAAAATGACCACCTTCTCCTTTAGTACATAAAGGCATTAAAACAAAAATGTAAAGGTAAGCAAACTGCCCAAGTTCTAGAGATGAACATAAGTTTAATCAAGATTAAATATATGCGCAAAAAATATCTTGCAACTCATAAAATCTCCAAACAAATCAAAACAATAGAAAAATTAGCTTTTACCTCTCATGTCAATAGAGTCTTACAGTTGTATAGTTTCTAAAAGTTTTGGACTTTCATTTGGGCTAAAATGGATATATATATATATATATATATGTCTCATTCAGCATATTTTACAGTGCATCGATTCTCAAACCCCTAGCCTTCTTCCACATCTAAAAACCAATACATAAACACCTTTTTAGAATTATTTACATACATGTCAATTCAAACCATTTGGTGAGCAATAACATACTTAAGAACAGACATTATACATCAGAAGAAAACTGAACTTTCTTTATGGCTTGGTTTAGCCATGAGTAGTGACATTTTGTTACACAAATTTGATCAATTCACACTCAGCAAGGACATCATTCCAAATGTGCCTTTAAAGTTTGGTTGCATACGCACAGGAAAATATAAGAATACAGCTCAGCAAGTGTGATGAAGTGAAACCAAAGGTCACTGATGCCGAGTGAACACACTCTCCATTCAACACCCATCGTTCAGATTCAGGCAGAACACAGATAATACAGCAACTGCTCCTAATGCACCTAGGTGGTAGGTACACAAAACATGCAATATGAAACTGATCAAAAGAAATAATCTTAATTATGGCAACAAAATAAACTTCAAAAAGTAAGTTGAATACATTTCAGTGTCACAACTAAGCAGTTAGTAAGCCAAAATGTCACCCAAGACAAGTCTATGTTAGTTTTTTTTCACATCATATGAGATGACCAACAGAACAGAAGCACTATTTTGTTTTATGGATTTTTGAGCACTGCAGAGATGTAACAGTGCGCAATGGCCTCCAATTCACAAACACACACAAAAAAATGTTTGTTAGGTGTACTTGTGTGTCATAAATGTTTACAGCAACTCCAACACACTGAATGATTAACACAAAAACCTGCAGGGTAGTATAATTTCCATTTTAATGTACCATCTTCTTATCCACTCATTCATAAAGACTCCAGAACAAGGGACAGTTGTTAATTTAATGTAATAGTCATGTGGTGTAACCATACAAACAAGGCCGTCAAGAAGCACTGAGACAACTGCTTAAAGGTGAAAGGAGAAAGTAAGAACAAATATTTATTAAGTGATTTGTTTTTAAACTTATTATTCTGGATCACACACCAAAATGCTTGAGTTTACAAAGCCAGAAGAGCCACAGCCATATTTTACCACATGTACTCACTCACTTAAAAACCATGCAATGAGTTCTTGCCCGTCCTTGATAAATGTTGCCAGTACACGCCATTAAAAAAACACCACCCCTGGTACACTCTGTCAGTCAGAATGTATGAAGAAATAAAAGGCTGAAGTCAGACTGTTTCTGCATGGCAAGAAGCTGAAAAGAGCATTGCTTCCTCAGATCTTTATAGATGCATGGTAGCATATATGCATCAAAAAGGATGATGAAGTTTGTGTACACTGGTGTTTTAATGTGTGACTTGGCAAAGACCAGAAGCTTTTTGCAGAACAAAGGCATAGTGTTATGAAGTACATTTGCAATATAATTAGATTTTTTTTCCCCCAACACTGTCTGTGTTCTTGTGGGATAAACAGCCATTATGACCACCGAACAGGAAACGTTGCTTCACAGAGTGCTGGACTTGACAGGTTTCCATTCATGGTTATGAAAGCTTCACCCAGGGCAGAGGCAGCCGCAAGGCCAAGCTGACCAGTGTCGGGCTGGGTTGGTGACTGAAGAGGAGCCCGGGGTGAAAAGTAGTAACAATATGAGAGCAAAGCTTGGTCTATGTGAGCACAGTGAGGACAGGTGGTGAATATACAACAGGAAAACACACTCCTCTTCCAAGGGCTCAATGACAAGATCTAGCAAGGTGTATCTTGGGATACGCATACACATACAGTACATACATATCAGTCTGATCTCCAGGCTGGGGCTCTAAATTTGTCTCTTTGTCACCCTCTGGTGGTTTTTTCCAGAACAGGTCTGGTATCACTTTCTCCTTCACACACACACACACACACACACACACACACACATACAGGCTGCCATCACAGAGATCTCCACCTACATACACACATATATGAACATACACACGCCCTGGCTCCCCCTTATGTCTGTATTTAGGCTTATCTGGTGTAGTAGACTCTGTAGTAAACACTCTTGGAGCGCCAGAGTGAGTAGGAGTTGTCAAACTTGAGTAGGTAGACTCCACGCCCAGGGTACTGGTGGCTGCCAGCGTACACCTCCTCATGACAGTCCCGCCGGTATACCGGCACAATCTCATCCACCTGGGGCTTCCCTGCCTCCTTCTTCACTTTCTCCTCCTCACCAGGAGCATCACCTGTGGGCACAAGAACAATGTATAAAGTTTTGGAGGAAAGCAGGAGAGATTTTCGAAAAATGCGTAATGCTCATTTTATCTATGTCCTTCCTCAATAATGCTATCAAGCACACAATAAGGCATTTTGAGCACTCAACTTTTCTGCAACTCTTGCACATAAATTTTATTTAAAAAAAAGTCAAGCATAGAATTTTATTTCAGCCAAAAAAACAAAAAACAAAAAAAAAGTGCACAAGACATTTTTCATCAATTAAAACTGCCCAATGCATGCTCAAGACTGAGGCACAATTAAAATGCTGTATGATATGTCCTAACATGGGGTATGTCTTACGCCATTAAAGAGCAGTTCAAGTATCAGAGTCTCTTACTTGTATGGTAACATGTTGCATGAACTTTATAAAATCGATACATGATGTTTACGACAGCAATTGACAAGCCCTCCCATGCAAAACTTACAGTGCGACAGTAGAGTAAATGCGCACACGCACGCGCGCACACACACACACACACACACACACACAATTGGTATACTCTCAGACATTCAGAAGATTTAAATGGCTGCCTTATCTGCTAAAGGCTAATGTTTAATTTTATTGACAAAACCGCATACAATATTGCCGTATATCTTTCCACTAGAGAATGTGAACGTATATCATCCCGTGTTGAATGTTGGGATGGGGGTGCCATTATTGCAGGGAGGCACTATGATTACCTGCATACAGTCTTGTTTTGTTTGGCTAAAAAGTTGCTTAAATTGTTTAGATCTCACTTTAATGACTGTGGCTAACTCTTAGTGGATGTAGAGATCCCACTGACAAGAGTGACAGACTGAAAAATGAATCTGCACCTCAATTTAAGAACTGTTGGGAAGCTAATGCTAGCTAGCAGCAGATCAAACAAACACTGCAGATGAATCAATCTGAACACTAAAGTGGACATTTGGATGTAGTTGAAGCATCCGCTGCTGTATGTAGCTGTATGGATAACCTGCCTGTGCACAACATGGAAGCTAAGATGGGCAGGTACATGGCTCAATACATGAGCAGGGCCCAGAAAGGAATGCTCCTAAAATTACACATTTACCCAACTTCACGTTCTGGATTCCAAACAAAAAATTTAAAAAAACAACAACAAGCAGGACTTCCTCTACCAGAGGAGGGCTAGTGGATGTAAAACTATGGCACTGTCAACTTTTGAACATGAGATAATAATAACATATTCTCTGTAAGCCTAGGCAGTTAACTCCCTTTAGATAAGAGAAGCAACAGAAGTAAATGAATTACACAGTAAATCCTGTTCAAAGCAACTGCTTCTGTGGTAAAGGAAGGACTAAATAGCCACCATGACTTTAATATGTCAATATGTAGCAGAATATGGTGAGCTTATAGAACTTGTATTTGTTCAATTGTCAATTCATGGAAAAAGACTGCTTTGCATATTTTTGTTAATGTAAATAAAACTGACTCTTGAAGCTGATGTTTTCACCGGGTGCTGTGTTTTAAAACAACATGTTGTTGCGATGCCTGAAAGTATTTGCATCAGACACACTGCAGGCTTATTTCACCATTACTTCCCAGCCACACTTCACCTTCATCATCCTCATCGTCGTCACTGGACTCCGACACATGCACGCTGACTGAAGCAGAGGAAGCATCCGTCCACTCAAAGAAGACCCCAAAGCCGATGTCATAATAGTCCGTGGCAAACTCCCAGAATAGGTAGGAGCCCTCCTCATGCGTGGGAACACGCACTGTGACCACCTCGCCGCGTCCCACTGTGATCACACTGTCTGCATCCTGCCGGATTTTTTCCTTGAAGTCCTTAATCTGTGGCCGTGTCCACATGGAAGGAGCAGCTATGACTGGTGGGGAGTCAGCTGTGATTAAAAGACAAGAGATTCTTTATAAAAACATCAAAAAAATCTTCAGGTTCCCAAGTAGGAATAAAATATTAAGCTGTTTTTCCTGTGAGCATATACAGACTGTGTCATCTGTTTGTGCTGTCTGTGTCTAAAACAGAAAGAGAGAGAGGGCATGCATGATCAAAGGTAGAGAGTTACAGGCTCAGCTAACCATCAGTCCATCAATCTTTTCCCTAAACATTACTCTGAGAGCGAGCAGCCGGCCGCAGTGGATTCATTTGAATCATGTATGTTCCGGAATCAGACCAAGGCCTTGTTCATTTCTGGTGTGAGTACTTAATCTTGTGTAAGCACAGTGTGTGGTTTGGTGATACTTAAAACTAGGCTGCTATCATGTATCACTTGTCCTAGCTCCTCTCCTCCCTGCCCTTCAACAAGGACACAGGATAAGAATCAAGTTTCAGATCTGTTACAAAACTGTTTGCTTGAGTGCCCTTGCCCCACCTCCCTGCCCTGTAGCAGAGTGGATAAAGGAGAGTGACTGCATTCCATCGACTCTATAAGGACTTAGTTTATTTGGTTGTTCGTTTTACAGTAATGGTAGACAGTGGGAACATTGAATAGCTCCAAACATTAGCAGCAGCACCAGAGAGTTACATTGATTTAGCTGCTATATCTTTCGAAGTAAGAAGCTGAAATCAATAGGAATAATTATACATGGCATTTTAAGTCAGCAACATGTCAAAACACATTTTACAACCTTTTGAGAGTCTCCATCAGATATTGTGTAAATAAGTATGTTTGTGTTATTTTATAGGAGACAAACACCAACCTAATAAAGGTCCATTCTCTGAGACCTCCTCTGCTGGCTCAGGCTCTGCCTCCCGGTCCGAGTATGTATCTGACTGGCCTCCATTGACTGTAGGAGCTTCCTCACCAGCAGGTGGTGAAGCTGCACATAAGGGTCCAGCTGCTGAGACATGGATAGGTTCGCCACTGTTGAAGGTGTTAGATTCCAGGGTGCCATGCATCACTGACTCAGCCTGCTGCTGCTGCTTCTGTAAGGCCGCCTGGAAAGAAAGGAACAGGAAGTCAAGAGCGTAAGGACATACATCAAAAATGTTGAGTACCTAAAATTCAGTTGGAATGAGACTCTTGCTGTTACAGACATTTGTATGCATGTAAGGCAGCACTGTTATTGTTAGAAGTGTTATCTTTGATGCTTGGCTACTTGTCAATTTACTGTGAATATTTATTAGAAAATGTTGACAATAATCTCCACTAAAAGCTTCCACATAAAAAAAAAAATTCTTGACATTAAACAATTTAAAAAGTGGCATTCTATCCCGCCATCAGTGAAAAACATCGTACCTGTTGCTGGGCCAGTTGGACCTGGTAGAGCTGCTGCATGTACTGCTGGTAGTGCTGCTCCTGAAGCTGACGGATGAGGCCCAACTGTTGCTCGGTGCTGTTGGGGTATTGCTGGGCAGCATACTGTTGGAACTGCACTGCTGTCTGAGCATTCAGTGCTGCCATTATCTGTTGTCTGTGAAGTAAATCAGAAAAGTAAAGCTAGTTAAGATGGATATACAGGAAATAATAGAACGCTGTGGGGTTTTAAAATAGGCAGAAGAGACTTTGTTCTTTGGACCAGTTTAGAGCCAGACAATGAACCTATCATAACTCCAGAGCACAAAAGACAATACCTCTGTAGATATCAATGCCAATGAAATGTGATGAGCATGTTGAAGTCATGCTCAAGTCAAACTGATATTTTACAAGACCGAGCACATTACTCAAACACACACACATACTTCTGCTGCTCAATCCGTAGCCTCTCTTCCTCTGCTTGTCTCCTTTCCTCTTCCTCTCTCCTCAGCCTTTCCTCCTCTTCAAGCCTCCGTCTCTCCTCCTCTTGTCTTTGTCGCTCTCTCTCCTCCTCCTCCAGCCGCTGACGCTCCTCCTCCTCTTTTCTATGGGAGAGGAAAGTCATGAAGACATTTTAAATGATGCAAATTGTTCATTAAACATAAGTTAATAAATGTTCAATACTTCCCCTGCTGCTTATGTTTTTTCTTGCTGCACACAGGTCAAACTGAACTTGGGTCTGTATATGGACACTGCAGCAGTGTCTTCCCTCATGAGAACAGAAGTTGACCACATTACCTTTTCCTCTCCTGCTCCTCCCTTTCAATCTTGTGTGAGGAGACATAGGGAGCAAAGAGATTACAGCACTTGTTGAGCAACTTGACAAACTCCACCATGGCCTCTTCTTTCTCCATGTTACCCAGGGAGGCCCCCTCTTTCCTGCACAGAGAGTGAGATGGGTGTGTAAATAGACAACAGAGGCAGCAGGGAAATTTTGGCTCAGCAATTAAGTACTTATCAATTTATTTTTAGGTGACCTGTTATTGCTTTACAATAAGAAAACATGGATAATTTACATCTGTAGAATTTGTAGCAACCAGTGTTTTCTTTTTTAAACACACACTGAAAAAAACAAAAACATTTGTAAAACCATAATCATATTTTATAACTGTGAACACAAAATGTGTGCAATCAGTGTATGGCAGTGACACAGGCTTACATCAAAGGTTCATATAAGCATAAGAGGCACACTCAAGTGTTGACTGGAATACTGTATATTTAACACTTCATTGAATGGAGAGGCATTTCCTCAACCACAGCTAAACTACTGCAATGTTTGCACACGTCTGCTGATGTTACCTGCGGTCATTGCCTAGAACATCAAAGAAGCCAACCTCCGGCGAAGCATCAGGATTATAAGGACCCAATAACACCTGTTTGTGCAGTGCCACCAGTCGAAGCTTCTCCTCATAGGTTGGGTGGAAGGCCTTACC